CTCTCTGTCTCTGTTTCTGTCTCTCTGTCTCTGTTTCTGTCTCTTTGTCTCTGTTTCTTTCTGTCTCTGTCTCTCTGTCTTTCTTTCTTTCTGTTTCTATCTCTTTTTCTGTTTCTCTCTGTTTCTACCTTGGTTTCTCTCCATCTTTCTCTCTGTTTCTATCTCTGTCTCTCAGTCTGTCTCTGTTTCTGTCTCTGTCTCTGTCTCTCTGTCTCTCTGTCTGTCTGTCTCTGTCTCTCTCTCTCTCTTTCACAAAGTTGCCCAGGTTGAGCAGGTATGGATTGCACCTCGCTTCCTTTGCTTTTCTTAAGACCAATTGAACTATAAAAGTTTGGGCTTCATAAAAGCAGGTATGTGTATAGGTCTTGATCCCTATATATTGGCTAGGGAAGCATCATGCTCTATTATTTTCTTTGTGTGTTCCTGTATAATTTGACATTCCAATGTGTGCATATTGTGTGCCTATGAGTGTTTTGCTGCTTTGTACATATGTTCAGTTTTATGAACACTATTATACCTCTGGGACTCATCTCAGCAGCTTTCTTAGGACAGAAAACTAAATTTGGGTTTTGTCTTCTGAGAAAAAGGCACAGAGATCAAGCTTTTCCTGTGACCTTCTCAATGCATTTTCACTTAGTACTCAGACTCTGTCCTGCAAACTGACAGTTGTACCTGGTAACATTACACAATTTTGCACAGGAAGAGGTCTGAGTTTTGGTGACAAAGTGAGTTTCTCTCCTGAAGAGATGTGAGATGTGGGGGCCTGTGAGTGGTGTGTGTGTCCGTATTAGTGACTTCAGTTACACAGGAAGTGTGTCTTCTCAGCCTCTGATTTCTTCCCTCTGACAAAAAAGCCCATATAAGGTAAAGAGTGGATGTGTACTGTGACAGGGAAGTTCCTTGTTGCTAAATCTACTGTTCTAGAAGGGTGCTTTGTTCTGCCTCAGAGTGCAATATTTGAATTTGGAAATGATTTTTTTCTACTAACAGCCTGCCTTTGATATCCTCAGTCTCCTGGCCCTGTGTGCTTTTCTCACCCTCAACCCAGGATCATTTCTGCCTTGACAGTCACCTTCCTAGGCTTTCCCCACCTCCTCAGGGCAGGACTCAGGAAAGAGCTCACCTGTGAGTCACAACAAGGTGAGGGAAAATAACATCTTTATTTATCTTCTGTAGGGAAGTTTGTTTGTGGAATAAGAAGCAGAATGTCATATTTAAACATAACAGAATTTCTAGCATTATTCAAGTGTTGTATGTTAGGAGTCAGTGCTGAAAGAAACCGAATGAAGAACAGATCCCATGAATATAGTTTCAGAGGTCTCACTGAGACTAGTCTCTCTCTAAGTGAGCCCAGAGCCACAGAAACATCTCACTTTTATTGAGGGCTAAATTCAAGCTAAGCAATGTGCAGAACTGCTTTAGTGAACACAACTACTCTATTGACTTGAGTGTTTACCTAACACCAAGTTTACACAATGCTAGCCATTAACATCCCAAACAAGGGATGAAAGAACAAACAGGGTGCCAGTCAGAGAAGCTGCTATCTGCAGCCTTGAATCTCAGCTTGCCTTGCTGGAATTTATAAGAGAGACAACAGCTCTCCATGGGTGCTGTTTATTGCTCCTTGCTCCCTCGGGACATTAGGCTTTTGTCTTACATCTATTTCTGTATTGAGGAGTCCGCTGCTCTCCCTTACATGAGATTTATAGCTAATAAGGGTTTAGCACTTTCTCTGGTGTCTAGATTATGACTTTCACAATTCTAGACCATGTAGCTTTCTTCTTTATGTTTCCATTAGAGTCTTTCATGTATAAATAGTACTTTTTCTGCTATTATGTGAAAATAAACACGAAGTAAATATGTTACAATTTAGCATATTAAGTTAGTATATATTTGTACCTTCAATCAACATGAGATTTTTTTAAATTAAGCATGGCTAGTACTGTACACTGTGAGTATAGTCATTTATGAGCCAGTCCAAACATATACACTCCTGGGCATCACTTTAGTAGGAATTTCTTAGCAAAAAGGAGGACACAGACCAAGTTTCCCTCTGGTATTTTCGGCATCATTGGGTTCACTTACCAGTAAGGTCCATGGTGATTGGTCCTGGCGCACTCTCACACACCAGCGTGAGCCGAGTGACAGTCACATTTGGGAGTGTTGGGTCTATAGGATTCAAAAGAAGAGGTAGGTGTGAGAAAGAGACATATGGATACTGTGTTTGCATTTCAAGTGGGGAAAGAGAATATACAGAGAAAAGTTGTATCACTGTCTGGAGTAGACATAGAAATGGTGGTGGACTGATCACCTTTGCACACCGCAGCCATGTTATTCCTATATTTGGCCTTTGTGGGCTCATCTTAATGATGAACACCATCTGTATAACAAGGGACTATGCCTTAGGTGCTCTGCTTGTTGGGTGCTGCTCATCCACATCTCTACCCAGGTCTTGTTCTGCCGCCGGAGATGAGTGGATAGGAAAGGACTGAGAAGGAGAAAGAGGGAAAATGAGGGCTGGTGCACAGAGGGGTTTACAGTCTAAGTGGTGGCCAAGACTTTTTTCTAAGTTCTCCCTGTGTGTGATCTTCACCTAGCTTATTACTGACCTGCATCCCATGTGTAAGGACATTAATGGTAGGGCCCACAGCTTTGTTCAGCATGTGCTGTGTGCCTCACTCTCCTCTTGCTGCAAGCATTTGGTACCCTCTCTTTTGCTTCTGCTAAGTGGTGGCAGTGCATCCTCACCTGCGGCCTCCCTGCCCCCAGATACACACCTGCTACCACAGGAGCATCTCCCAGCAGGGTCTTCTTGTACTTAGTTAGACTTTCATCATCTTTATCCATCTCCTGCAGTTCCTTCAGGGACTTCTGAGGTGGTGGCTTATAATTGAGCTTGCTGTCTAGCTCATCGTCACCTTCATCTAGCTGTGGCTCTGTGTCCTTTTCTGTCATCTTGATCTATTTGTAAAGAGGAGAGGAGAGCCCATTATCCAGAATTTTGGACATGCAAGATATTTGTGGGGCTGATGTTACCATCTTCCTTGTTCTAATGAACTTTGGGGGTCATCAGCAATTTTCCAGATTTTTCTTGAACCGAATCTCATTGTGTTTCATGAAATAAAAATATAGTCTATTTTAGTCATCTTTACAGCCCTAAACTACTCCTTACTGTGATGAATATGTCCTATATATTGAATGCAAATGAAATGAAAGAAATAACTTTTTTGTGAACCATATACTACAACTACAGCAACATAGCACAAGCAGCCCTAGACAGTGGACCACAGTGCAATCAAATCCTTACAGGAAGTTTTAGTCCTTCACTCCAGCCTGTCTTGCTCCAAGCTTGCAGCATCTATAATCTCTATTATGGTGGTTTTAAAAAGACAGCCAAAGTAATAGTTGGCTTCTTCCCATGAAGTCAGTCTTCCCCTAAGCACCTGAAGTGCCTCAAGAATTACAGACCAGATACCTGCCTGAGGTATCTGAATGGATCCTGCCCAATAGTTGCGATGTTTCTTGAGAGCAGACACCAGATTCTGTGTGTTTCTTGAATTCTTCCATAACCTCTGAAGCATTTGACATCTTATTATTTTTTGTTGATTGATTCATTTGATTCTTCTTTTCTTTTTCTTTTTGCGGTAACAGGGATTGAACTCAGGACCCTGTGCTTGTCAGTTATTCTACTGAGCTATCTCCCCAGCCCTGTGATTCATTTGATTCTATAACTAAAGATCTCTGTTCTTTTCATACGCAACAAAATAGCCTAGGATTCTTACATTCTTCTACACAAAATTGTCCGAGTATGCCTGTGTTCAGTTCCCTGACACCCACCTCTGTTTTCTGGAACTAATTCCTTTAGTGTCCTTGCCTTGCTGTCCCAAGTTGATAGATTTTTTTTCAGGCACCCGGTGCAGCAGAGAAACAAGCAGAAGGAAAAAGGGAAAGGGGCTTTATTATCTTGGACATGGAAAGAATTTGGAGAGGATAAGGAATTCTCTGCATTGGAACAAAGAGAGGCTGAGGATTTTATGACCTTTTCCCAGGGGTGGAGTTTGAGGGGGATGTTTGATACACCTGAGGGGCTGATTGGGGTCTTCCCAGAGGTGGTGGGAAAGGTGAAAGGAAATTCAACTCTCCTGGGCTGAGTTGGAGAAGAAGGGAGAGGTGGTCTCTGGGAAGATTAGCTGTTATTTTAAGGGCTTCAGCCATATTCGATGACCACCATAATAATTCAGCAGTTCATACTAAGGCCAGAACCTATCACAAGTTTCCAGTGAGTTTGTGCTCTAAGGCCTCACCTGGGAGGCCCTCGAATGTGTCTTCTTTTATCCTTACCTATATTTACTTGTTTATGTGAGAACACTGAGGAGGAATCTAGTAAAATTAATCCATATGTAAGTGATAATGATGAAGACAGCAGTAGTCAGAGAATTTCAGAATCAACGTCAACCTCAGAGGTGATGTTTCTACCCTGTCATTGAACTACTGAGAAAATTGAGATTGAGAGAGTGGGAAAGTCACCCATATTTGCACAGTTGGATGAGAACTGCGGTATTTTAATCCAGAGTAAGAAACTCACAGAGGAATTCGGGGCCTGTGGTTGAACTTCCTGTCCAGCAATGAGAGGGGTGACAGAGGGATAGTGGGCAGAGATCATTCTCTGGTTTCCTTTGCTTCTGCCTTGAGAGTAGCTTTGTAGTGCCTGTGGGTCAAGACTTCATTGCTCATGAAGGACTTAGCTAAAAGGAAACACCTTCCAGGTTCCCTGAGTGACAAGGCAAACCTCTCTAAATTTCCCTGAGAGTGAAGATATTTCTGGCTCAAGTCAGTTGTGGTTTTGAGTTTCAATGTCACCAGCATTGGCAATAGGAAGAAAGATAATTTTGAAGTGAGGCCAAAAAGGAAAAATAAAAATAATTTTGACAGAACAAAAGGAAACAGAAGAGTATAGAGAATGGAAGAGAGGTGGGGGAGGGAGAGAGGTAAGAAGAAATGGGAAGGAAAGGGAAGAGAAGAAGGGGGAAAAGGAAAGGGGAGAGAAGAAGGGGGCAGAGAGGAGAGGAGGTTCATTATTTTTCTTTCAGCAAAATAATAGGTGCCTTGACCAACTCTGAAAACAGCGTGACAATGCCAAGATTAACTTCCTGTCCAGGAAGGAAACTTGTAGGCCTGTTTCTATGGCAACTTTGTTTCAGCTGTAGAAGCAGCATCCTTGAAAGCTCAGACTCTTTAGACCACAAAGAAAAATATAGCTACCAACCAACGCACCTCTCAAATGACACTCAGAGGAGATGAATGAACTGGTTGAAAAAATGTGGTGGGTGGATGTTTCAAGCCATAAGCCATTTAAGGACAGTCATTAAGGAGCAAACCAGGCTAATTAAGGCTAATCAGATAAGATAGATTTTCATCTGTGGTCTGGCAAGCCCAAGAAATAACACAGATGGAGCCCACATAATAAACTGTGTAGAACAACAGGAGGGCTATGTAGACTGATAAGGGCATCTCAGCCCCTGTGGTCAGGCATTTCTGGACTATATCATTTGGTTCTAGCGAGTCACCTGTCTGAAGCCTACGAGATGGTGACATGACTTACGGGCATTAGCGAAAGGTGATCCCATTCACCTATAGGGAATTATAATTCCGTAGCTTCACTCACAGTTTTGAAGGCATAATGAGAAGGGGAATTTGGCTTGGCCATCAGATTTGCCATTGTTTATGTGACCATTGTCAAGTCAATTTATCTACCATTCAGGTCTTCATTTTATTGTTATGTCTGAGATCTGTATTAGTTCTCTATTTTCTCCATGTATTTCAAACATAATCATTGAATAAAAATAAGCCATTATTTTTTGAAGACACAGAAGAGTAGAGGTGTAGGATTAGTGTATGAACTTGGTACAGTCAGGAGGAAATTCAGGACCCTATTAAAAGAATTTGGTCTAATTATAACATAAGAAATAGATGTAAGAAGCCAGATGATTCAAAAGTAGCTTAGTTCAGAAAGCGTATTAGAAAAAGACGATGATATCATAATAACCAAGTAAAAGAATTGAAAAGCATTTCTTAGGGTAGCATTTAAAGCAAAATTAAGGTCAGAACTAGTGGCTGGCCACCGTCTGTTCAGAAAGCTTTGCACTTTGGCACGTACTGATGTTTAAGACCTTTGAAGAGTGAAGGCATGAGTGGAAGTTTGGATCTTTACTCATATTAAAGGGCCCAGGTAGTTTGACCGGTTTTCTTAATTTTTCTGGAGATTACAGATACCTCAGAAAATCTGATAAATATCAAGTTCCTCATCCCAAGGCAAAAGGAATAAAACCATGAAATTATGCAAATGTCACTGGTTTCACGGACTCTGAAGTTCTTCATACGCTTCATGGGAATTCACGATCTCTAGACTAGGAATGTGACCTCGGCCCTGTAACTTCTTGGAAACACGAAGCAGAGATGAGGGTAAAGAGGAAGCTTATATGGATGAGGCCGAGCTGAAACACTGACCCGAGAGGCTCAGGGCATGGTCCACCCATCAATCTGATATGCTGAAGCAGTAAATGTCAGATGACATCTGTGTCTCAAGGATCACTACCCGAGTGGCTGGCGGAGGAGCGCAGGCACACAGGGAGAAGCCCACTGACTGCCCTCCCTGAGCCGGTGTCTGAATCACCACAGGTCCCCTTCTCCTCCCTCATCTTGGGATAGGAAGATTATAGCGCCCCATCTCTACATGGTTTAAATTTCTTTTCTTTTCTTTTTTTTACTTTGGGCAGGGTTTCACTACGCAACTTATACTCGTAGTGATCCTCCTGTTTTCAGCCTCCCTGGTGCTGGGATAACAGGTGTGCGCCACCATACCCGCACTGTCACATCTCAGCGCACTCTGGGGGTGTGGTGGGCGCAGCATGTGGTGCCAGGGATCGAATTCCGGCCCCTGCGCTTGCTTTAGCAGACACTTAGTCCACTGAGGTATCTTGCCAATCCTTAGACGGTTTAAATTTCTAAGCCTCTGTCTGCAGATATTTCTTGATCTACAGTCATGTGGCAACAAGTCAGTTACCTTATCTCACTAGTGAATCTAAGAGAATGTGTTTTGTTATTTTAAACTTCTGTGAATTCCCAAAAGATGCTGCATTTTTAGTTTTAGTTTTTCCTGCACATGAAGTAATTTTCTTTTACCCACAGCTCTTTGAATAATTAGGGACATCTTTGTTAACCACTGCATATTGCTACCGAGCTCTTATCCCGAGCCAAATGCTTAGCAATTGTGCACTAAGTGCTTCATTGTGAAAGAAACATTGTTACACTTTAGAAAGGCAGAAACAAGGACAGAAAGAAGCATCATATTTCAGTTCCACAGAATTTAAAATTTCCTACTCATGCAGTGAATGAAAAGAGCAATGGCTAAGAGTCTAAGATATATTTGCTCTGCATATGTTTAGTAAGAATATACAAAATGATAAATCAATACTTCCTATAAATCACTTTTTCAAAAAATTTATTTTATGCATTTAAAGTGTAAAACATGATAGTTATAAAGTAGACATATAGATAGTAAAAGGCTACTATGATCAAACAAATGAACACATCTAGCCCACATAATTACCTTATTTTGTGGTATCAAGAACACTGAGAATCTGTTCTTTGAGTAAGAGTTCTGAGTATAGTGGAATATTATTAAATGTTGTATTGCAATTTTTTTTTTTTTTTTGTCTTTTTGAGATAAGGTTTTACTATTTAGTTGAGGCTGGCCTTGAACATACTTTGTAGCGCAGGCTGGCCTTGAACTCACAGCACTCTTCCTGCCTCAGCTTCCTGAGAGCTGGTATCACAAGCGTGCACCACCACATCTGGACTACTTTGTAAGTTTTGCTTTCACAAGTAGTCTCTGGGAAACAGATTCTCCCAAACACCCAGACATAGGCGGTATATGGCTTGACCATAAATTCCTAAACAAT